CAGTGGAAATCAAAGCAAATCAGCACATGTGATTGATGATTTGCAATCATCATCGTGGGCTGATCGATGTTCAAGGTCTGTACAGCTCCAGGTGACCCCCACAATTCTCCTCCATTCCTCTCCCACTCTGGCACACAGACATATCTCACCTTCACATCAAGTATCTGAGGCCCTTTCTGGCAAGTCGGGATTGAAAACTATAAATGTTCAAATTTGAAATAATATTAAAAAGATCCATGGGAATACAGTGTGTTATGAAAAGCATGTTGTTAATTAATAACATAGAATCAGGTAGGAATTTCTTGGATGGATAAGAGAGGGATGGTGTTTATAATCTGGAAGTGATCGGGAATAATTCTTCTGAACTCAATTTTAAGTTGATGCATATTAATAGCAGACTGTATAAAAAAGCATCAAAGTGTCATTGCAATTCAGGCTTAATTAAGGAGGGGCACACACATGTCATTTCTGCCAATAGAACACTGTTTATGTAGTTTTTAATTCCCCCATCACTGAAACGTCAATTTTAAGTTGATGCATATTAATAGCAGACTGTATTAAAAAAGCGTCAAAGTGTCATTGCAATTCAGGCTTAATCAAGGAGGGGCACACACATGTCATTACTGCCAGTAGAACACTGTTTATGTAGTTTTTAATTCCCCCGTCACTGAAACGGAACCCAGCCAATTATATAACGTATTATATGAAACCTACTAAGGAATCCAATCATTTTGCAACTAAGTGATTTTGAGGTGTTTCAAAATCACTTTGCCTATTAAACATGTCACTCTAATTGCATAGTAATTATTTGAATAAGAAGCTGTAGAGAAACATTTGGAAATAAGTACAAATAAGGTTGATGAGTGAGAAAAGTGAACGAAGCTGGTGTGCAGAATAGTGGTAAAAGAGACAGGAACTCCTTCAAGGGAGCCAGGGCACAGGGCACGAGCCAAGCCGGGGAGGTTGTTTGCATATGCTGAGAAGGTGGGAAGGTTAGTGTGGTTAGCTTGGCATGTGGGAGGGACGGTAGCCAGTAAAGGACGAGTTCAGTTAAAGGACTAGAATGCCCAACTTATAGTGGCTAATATCCCCATTCCTCAATGTGTGGTCCTCAGATGGCAACATTACCTGGGTGCCTGTTATTAATGTAGAGTCTCGAGCTCTGCCTTGGACTTACTTAGTCAGAATTTCCTTTTTAATGAGATTTCCAAGTGACTTGTAGGCACATTAAACTCCAGTTTAGGCAATAAAGATATTTTGACATCTCACTTAATAAGGATTTAGTAGGAAGCAGTTTCAGAATAACTGTATCTAAATCATTAATATCACAGGCTTTTATCTCAGGATTTAGAGGTAAGCCATTCCAGAGTGGCTGGATCTATATCATCAATAATACAAGCTTTCATCTCCTTACACTCTGCCCTCTTTAGCATATTGATGTTGGCCTTTTGGTTTGTGACCTCATGGCTCCAAGAGGCTACTGTAGTTCCTTGTACAAGTGAGTTCCACTCGTCTACTATCTTATTGCCCAGGACTGAGACATGTGTTGACTTGTAGACAAATCACTTGGGAAGAGGAGTGGTATAAACATGACTAATTTATACCATTCATTAATTTAGTTTAAAAAAGTGGATTGCCTACTATGTGTCATTTTCTGAGTATCCCTGGGATAAAGCCTGAGATCACATGCCTTTGTTCATTAATTGAACAGAATTAGGGTTCTGGTCATAAAGAGGAAGGGGGGATTGTGATTAGGTAGGAAACATTGTCCACCACAGGTCGGTGAGTCCAGATTTGGACAATTCTTGGAAGCGATGCCAAGACTGGGCTTGATCCAGTTGTCATGGAGAATCAAGACAGTGACATAATCAGATCTGTGTTTTGAGCAGTAAATCTAGCCTGTGGAGGATGGAGTGAAACCACAAAGGAGACTTATGCAGTCGTCCGAGTGAGAGTTGATGAGGGCTGGCCTAGGACAGTGGCACGTGGAATGGGAAGGAGGGGATACATTGGGAAGGGCATTCTGATACACAAGCCGTCACTTAGCGATGCCGTACGTGGTGAGGAAGGGAGAGGATTTCAGAGATGCTGCGCTGCGACTGTGGTGGGATAATCTCTCAGCTCTAACACTAGTTGACATTTTAAAAAGTCAATGTAATTAGAAGCATGGAACAGACCATCAAACCTCAGAGGGAAGGCAGGGGAGGGTGGGAGGGGGTGTAAGAGATCAACCAAAGGACTTGTATGCCTGCCTATAAGCATAACCAATGGACACAGACAATAGGGAGGTGAGGGCCTGTGATGGGGGCAGGAGCAAGCAGGGAGAGGACAATGGGGAAAAAAAGGAGACATATGTAATACTTTCAACAATAAAGAATTTAAAAAAATAAAAAGTCTATGTATTTTCCACATATAGGATCACAGGATGCAAAGCTCTGTAACCTAGATTTTGTTTTTTAATTTATCAAAAACTGATTTCTATGTCAGTACGTATAGAACCATCTCACCCATCTTTAATTATTTTTATTTTTATCTGAAAAATATGGTAAAGCATAAGCAAATTAAAAGCCACTTATATTCTGATAAATGTAAGAAATCGTGAAAAATGAAAAAGGAATTATCCTTTCCATCTGGATTCTGGAACATGTGCCTCCCTCATTTGTTTTCTAAGTAATGTAGACGTATGGAGAGATGCAGGCACACATACAGACCTCTTGCCTTTTTTTCTCTCATAACCACACTATTCACATTAGTCTGCAATGTGCAGTTTCCACTGCTACTCTTTCCTCCCAAAATCTTTGCCCTTCGTTTGTCATGATCAGCTCATGCTCCAGGAATAACCGGGTTCACGATCAGAGGGCTTTACCTAAAGAGTACACCTTCCATTTTTTTAATTTATGTATTTAGATTATAATCTATGCAGTCGCTTCTATGGCATTAAGAATTTTTTATGGTTGTCTGCCTCTCTCTTCACTAGGACGTATGTTTTGTGAGGACAAGGATTTTTGTATGTTTTGTTAACAGATGTATCCCCACAGCCACACAGTATCTGGCCCCCAATAGGTGTTCAGTAAATATTTGTGGATAAATGAATGAATTTCCAGCTTATTAGCCTCATTGTATTTTGCTTTAGCACATTTAAAATCTCCAAATGGCTTTTCCCTGTAATTCCATTCTGTGTCTTTCCCCCTCGACCTCATATGGCGTCAACTAATTTTAATATTAATCTAAAGAAAGGGAGTATAGGAATGCATTCCCCCAAAGAAGTCACTCGATGTATGCCACAATGAAACATACAGGATTACTGTTATCTGGTCTTCGGGGTTGTCTGCACCCCTCCCTCCCTCCCCTTTCATGAAGCCCCAAACTGACTACATACATCCACATAGATTCCCTTCATGGGTTAGGGGAATGGAAGCAGCTGAGGCGATGGTATAATGCCCATGGCCACACCAGCACAATGTGGCAGGCAAATCCCTTCCTTTCCAAAGGAAGGAAAGAACCAAATGTACACGAGACATAATTTTATGCAATGCTTTTATTCCTCACAACCATTAAAGGAGCAAATATTATCACCCTTTTTGAGATAAGCCAATTTATCATCACAAGAATCTATAATAATAAAAGCATAATATGCTAATTAGACCAGACAGCAAAACGACCTTCTGGACGTCATTCTGGACATCCTTCCTGATGAAGCCGTGGTGGTGGGGGCTGAGGTAGAGGCAGTTAGGGGCAATCAGGCAGGCAGGCAGAGGGGTTAGGGGTTATCAGGCAGGCAGAGGGGTTAGGGGTGATCAGGCAGGCAGGCAAGCAGTTAGGGGTGATCAGGCAGACAGGCTGAGTGGTTAGAGGCGATCAGGCAAGCAGACGAGTGGTTAGAGGCGATTAGGCAGGCAGGC